TTTAGTATAGACACACAAGTATTTCTGCAAGGCTTTTGGACTGGGGGTCCTCTGTCGTAGCGCTTTTAATGTTAATAGGCACTATTGATTTGCTGCAACTTCCCTCTCCCTCCCTTCCTGTGCCTCTTCTTGTAAGGACACTGCATAATTCTACAATAACAGGAATTTATTTGGGGTTTATTTGTGGCATATATTTGGGTTGTGCTCATGCCGTGGTCATTTCAAACATTTGATTTGTGTCAGTTGCGTTATCATCCACAGCTGTAAACCATGTTTTATTTATATAAAGGGTTAGTAAGACAAATGACAAAATGACATATTTGTAACCTTACCTTACAGAGTCTCATTGTCCGTGGCATAGACTGCGTTCAGGGTAAGGAAACAAATACAGTGGGGAGAACAAGTATTTGATACACTGCCGATTTTGCAGGTTTTCCTACTTACAAAGCATGTAGAGGTCTGTAATTTTTATCATAGGTACACTTCAACTGCGAGAGACGGAATCTAAAACACAAATCCAGAAAATCACATTGTATGATTTTTAAGTAATTAATTTGTATTTTATTGCATGACATAAGTATTTGATCACCTACCAACCAGTAAGAATTCCGGCTCTCACAGACCTGTTAGTTTTTCTTTAAGAAGCCCTCCTGTTCTCCACTCATTACCTGTATTAACTGCACCTCTTTGAACTCGTTACCTGTATAAAAGACACCTGTCCACACACTCAATCAAACAGACTCCAACCTCTCCACAATGGCCAAGACCAGAGAGCTGTGTAAGGACATCAGGGATACAATTGTAGACCTGCACAAGGCTGAGATGGGCTACAGGACAATAGATAAGCAGCTTGGTGAGAAGGCAACAACTGTTGGCGCAATTATTAGAAAATTGAAGAAGTTCAAGATGACGGTCAATCACCCTCGGTCTGGGGCTCCATGCAAGATCTCACCTCGTGGGGCATCAATGATCATGAGGAAGGTGAGGGATCAGCCCAGAACTACACGGCAGGACCTGGTCAATGACCTGAAGAGAGCTGGGACCACAGTCTCAAAGAAAACCATTAGTAACACACTACGCCGTCATGGATTAAAATCCTGCAGCGCACGCGAGGTCCCCCTGCTCAAGCCAGCGCATGTCCAGGACCGTCTGAAGTTTGCCAATGACCATCTGGATAATCCAGAGGAGGAATGGGAGAAGGTCATGTGGTCTGATGAGACAAAAATATAGCTTTTTGGTCTAAACTCCACTCGCCGTGTTTGGAGGAAGAAGAAGGATGAGTACAACACCAAGAACACCATCACAACCGTGAAGCATAGAGGTGGAAACATCATTCTTTGGGGATGCTTTTCTGCAAAGGGGACAGGACGACTGCACCGTATTGAGGGGAGGATGGATGGGGCCATTTATCACGAGATCTTGGCCAACAACCTCCTTCCCTCAGTAAGAGCATTGAAGATGGGTCGTGGCTGGGTCTTCCAGCATGACAACACGCAGCCAGGGCAACTAAGGAGTGGCTCTGTAAGAAGCATCTCAAGGTCCTGGAGTGGCCTAGCCAGTTTCCAGACCTGAACCCAATAGAAAATCTTTGGAGGGAGCTGAAAGTGCGTATTGCCCAGCGACAGCCCCGAAACTTGAAGGATCTGGAGAATGTCTGTATGGAGGAGTGGGCCAAAATCCCTGCTGCAGTGTGTTCATACCTGGTCAAGACCTACAGGAAACGTATGATCTCTGTAATTGCAAACAAAGGTTTCTGTACCAACTATTAAGTTCTGCTCTTCTGATGTATCAAATACTTATGTCATGCAATAAAATGCAAATTAATTACTTAAAAATCATACAATGTGATTTTCTGGATTTTTGTTTTAGATTCTGTTTCTCACAGTTGAAGTGTACCTATGATAAATTACAGACCTGTACATGCTTTGTAAGTAGGAAAACCTGCAAAATCGGCAGTGTATCAAATACTTGTTCTCCCCACTGTAAGTAATTTGGGTCAACTATTCCTTTAATATTAAACAGGTGTGGATTCTAATACAACTGACATGCCCCATATCTTGAAATGTTAATGACTGGGATGAATAACAATGAGTTCCGTAGAACCATATTACATTTTACATTTACATTTGAGTCATTTAGCAGACGCTCTTATCCAGAGCGACTTACAGTTAGTGAGTTCATACATTTTCATACTGGTCCCCCGTGGGAAACGAACCCACAACCCTGGCATTGCAAGCGCTGTGCTCTACCAACTTAGCTACAGGGGATATTCTATAGAACATCACAGGATCTATGCAGAGGCCTGTGTGATGATGGAGTTAACATGCAGGACTGACGGTGAGGGATGTGCGAGCTTCAATCAAATCAATAGGCCAATAGCAGTGTCTCTTGCCCTCACCGTGTGTAGTCGCTCAAGGCACTTTTTTCAAAGCCCCCTTTATGAAAGACCGTCAATGTTAGGTGTGTGAGTCTGTTTATCATAAAAGAACACTGTACTGTGATGTCTCTGTGTTGTTGGGAATACCAGCCCTTTCAAGGTTGCGTCTCAAATGAATATTCCCTATATAGTGCACTACTTTTGACCAGGGCCCATTGGGCTATGGTTAAAAGTAGTGGACTTAACATTTGTGACACATCCAAGGGCTAAGATAACAAGATGGGGTTTCTGATGTCGTTTGAACTTCCCTTGCGGATGTCTAGGGGTTAAATGAGAGAGAGAGAGAGAGAGAGAGAGAGAGAGAGAATCAATCAGGTGGACCACATGCAGTCGAGTTCGGCCCAGAGGTCTCCTATTAGCCATTCAGGCTAACGCACTGCAGGAACCCCATCTAAAATTCATGCAGCCAAGGTTTTCCCCTACCTCTTAAAATGCCAGCAGCGCGTCATGACGAGAGGAAGGTGCCACAATCCACTGTGACAGCGTGGAGTGACATGGAGGTACGTGTCAGTACGCATCACGGCCAGGGCAGCTGGCACTCATGACAGATGTGTCCAGGAGTGTGTTTTTTGGTGACAGGGTCGATGGCTCGAGGTGTGTCGCCAAAGCCAGGACCATGGAAACGTATGTAGCCTAGGCTGACAGATTGACTATCATAGTGTGTGGAGTGGACACACACACAGACACACACATTCAGCGTGGTTGGGCGGCTAACACCCTCTACCATGTGACAGTTAACAAATGCCTGACACCATATTCAGCACCTTGTTATATCTGCCAGTCTGTTTCAATCTCAAATATAAAACTGTTTCCTAAAGATGCTTTCAAAGCTAGCCCAACTAATATTCCCAGCAACAGTTTGCTGGGATCTCATTGGCTTATCTCGCTTTAGTGGCGTGCTTTGCAGAATTCAAAGAAGTAATTTAATATTTGCTTTTTTGACTTCTAATTTGTGCTGTTTGATTTTCAAATGGCTTCTCGGTCACAGATTCCTTTTCATTCGGGCTGGCTATCTTCATCTTGTGCTTCGTCCTGTCCATGTACAGTCCAAGAATCTGGGTTAGAGGTTGCCCAGATCTTTGGAACTGCTCCAATAGATCCCAATGCAGCCAATCTGTTTGCACAAGGCCCCTCCCCCAAATCTAGATCCTATTCATTAGGGCATGCAACGGAAAAAGTTTTAAAACATTTTGCAACGGAAAACCAAAATGAGCATTTCCGTTTTAATAATTTTTTCCTTCCGTTTGGTGCCTAATGAGCACAACCCTGATGGCTTCCAGTCCGCCATGGTATCTGCCAACTCTAAGCAATTTGCTGTTCTATAAGCCAACATGAGATTGTGGTTGTACGGCCATCACATTATGAGGTCCTTGCTTACTGTCAGTGTATGTGTGCATCCCAAACAGGGCACCCTATTGCATGGTGCACTGCTTTTGACCAGAGGCTTAAGCTGCAAAGAAACTGACCTTATGTCAGAGCTTAAGAGCAACATCATTCCATTATCCTTGTGCTAAGGTGAACTTGGCTCTTCTGGGGTCAGCAATCAAATGATTTATTCCATGTCACCTTGGATGAAAGGAAAAATTCACCTACTGTTTACTAAATATTCCAAATAAAAAACTACCATTGGTCCATACAGTTACAATATGTAAGTGTTTAGTGACCAGAATGTAATTATTAAACACTATTTTGTAACTGCAGATAAATACTTAATCCATGTATTTGTAGGATATTGTGATCAAAAAGAATACATAAGAGTAAATGAATGACAGAAGAAAAAATACTTTTTGAATTATTCATTGTTACGCCATGTTCTTAACTTTTTTTTAAATGTAGGCAATTCAGCTTACATTACATCTCTGTAACAAGCCAGTAAACCTCCACTTGTTTTCTAAATATAACATATTTATTTATAAATTGTTTTGAGTCCAAAGACTCGAGATAAGTGTGCAGGAGTTTATCCAGTCACTCCTTTGGTGTTAGCACGTAGAGGTGATGGCAGTCAGTAGTAGGCTTCTCCCCCAGTCCTACATGCCCTTAGACGCTGATCTTAGGTCAGTTTAGCCTGTTCCCCACTAATGGTTAAGGTTAGGATTGGAGCAGGGGACGCTGATCCTGGATCTGTACCTAGGTGAAAACGTCACCCCGGAGCATCCTTCACTGTCAGCCCATCTCTCCAATCCCCTCTGTGCTGGGAAAATGTCACCGCGTCACTGGAGAAGGACAGGCTCACCACGACAGGAAGCACCAGGGCCATCTGACCTTGGTCACTGTTGAAAGTGAATCCTGGGACGCTCCCACAGGAGGAGGCCGTAAGCAGAAAAAGACCCGCAAAAAAAAACCCCACCGAAATGTAATTCATCATAGGGTCCGTGTAAACTTGATTAATAGGGATTTCTTTTTGCTGCAGCGCCAATGCCATACCCAACCCTTGCCTTGTATATCCAGCACATTCCATTAATTTGAATGAGCCATTACGTAAGCCAGCGTATATATTTATTTTCATCGCTCGTTGGGACTACAGAAGGGATTTTGAATGCAGGTGCAAGCGACAGGCTTAGAAATGTTGAAGGGTGGCGAGAGAGAAAAAAGGTAAAGAGGTAAAAAAATAAATAAGAATAGATCAGCTTTTTAATGAGGCCTGGAGCGTCCATCATTAAGCCAGCAGTCACACTAAAGTGACTTTGTTCTCTCTCGCTCTCCTCCAAAGCGTTTGTCCCGCCGCCCGTGAGGTGACGCACACGTTTATAGATGTTGAGACCTCAGCCGGAGATCAAGGTCAGCCCAGATCGGCGCCGTCAGGTCCACAAACCCCAGGGGACATTTGAAAAAAAATTAAAAAATACGAAAGATTCTCAGCCAATCAACCGGGCCCTGCCGTCCGCCCCTCGGGCCAATCGAAGGCGATGGAGAGCTTCATGGGCAGTCATTTCTCGTTAAAACCAATAAACGTGCCCTGCTTCTCCCTCTGAAGAAGCATTGGGTGGAGCTGCATTCGAAAGCTCTGCCTGGGAGAAATGCGCTGACATGGCAACAGTGCTAGTTCTAACGTGCTGATGGAGAGTGCCGGGTTTGGATGGGTGGCACGCATCCCGTATTGACAGAGATGCTAAAATCGACAAGCAAGCATCCCCAGCGGGTTTTAGTCAAGGGCTATTCACTGCCGCCTTGTCATTGAGAGAATTTCTTATCTGTGTGTGTATGTGTTTGAGTGTGTGTTTGAGTGCATCCTGAAGGAGACAGGCCCCCAAAACTTGGCTTCTATTGATTTCTATTTCCCCAGTTTCCAAGTCCATCGCATTCCCCCACATTAGAATAGCGTTGAGTGTTGGGAAACACTGGGCTTCTGGTGGTGTTGACAAGCTGCCAAACTGCATATTCCCAGCCTGTGTAATTATGATCTGTGGAATTGATTCCCCTCAGTGATCATAGTTGGACGCCGTGCGGCTCATTGATTCCGAGATGTATGGTCCTCATTTGGGAGGTGTGGAGCTTTTCACCGATAGCTTTGCCAGTTTGACAGATGCCTTCATCTAAAGGGACTAGCATAGATGACAAATAACGCATTGATTCTGCTAAATCAATCCTCTGAGCCATTACCGCTGCGCATTGGGGTCAGTAAACAGACTAATGCACAGTCGCTACTGGTTTAGAGGCAGAGAGGAGTCTGCTTACTGTTTGGCCCATTCTGTAAGTTCCCAGCTAGTCTTGCCAGAGTGCTTTGGTTCAGCGAGGTGGTCTAAGCGTGTGTGTGTGTGTGTGTGTCTGCATAAATAAATAAATAATTCAAACGTATTTATGCCATTGTATTCATGTAGAAGCAACTAAGGTTCCATTTAAACGTTTTTCGGTCTTTTTATAGTGTTTAATTGTGGACATACACAGAACATATTCAGGTGTGTGTATACATGTGTTTGTGTATGCGTTTTCTGTCTCACGCCTCACCTTCTCTCTCACCTTGCCTCACGTCTGCCATCTCTCCACAGGGGAGGACTTTGCGGTGGTGCAGCAGGAGATCGTCATGATGAAGGACTGCAAGCACTCTAACATCGTGGCCTACTTTGGCAGTTACTTAAGGTAGCGTATTTAAAGGCCTGCACCCCGCGCTCACTCCGCCACCAACCCTAACCTTCCCTCCTCCACCCCTGCCCTGGCTCAGTCAATTCCCAGCCGCTCTCAGGCTTTGAAGTAACACACAGGCTCAGCGTGGAGTCGTACTCCACTGCAGTCAAGCCACGGTCAGAGCCTCCGGTCCAAGCCTAGCCGCACTAACACTAGCTAGCTAACAATGTGGCTAATTGCTAGCTCCAGGGGGGGGGGGGGGGGGGTTAGAAGGAATACTTTAGCCTATCCCAGGTATTCCTTAAAGAGGTGGGGTTTCAAATGTCTCCGGAAGGTGGTGACTATTTTGAGACCGTATCGATTGTAATGTCATTTGTTTCCTTTTGCTCTTTACAGGAGAGATAAATTATGGATATGTATGGAATATTGCGGGGGAGGGTCCCTACAAGACCTATATCATGGTAAGCATACACAACATACAGTGCACAAACACACACACACACAAGCATTTGAAAAATGACTGCTGGCTCAACCGGTTTGATGAAGCGAAATTCAATATGTTTCAGTGTGTGGTTTTAAGCTAATTCCTCACTCAAGTTTAGACGTCCTCTTACATCCTATTCCCTTTCTAGTGCACTACTTTTGACGAGGGCCCAGAGGGATAGGTTGCCATTTAGGACGTAACCTAGCTCCTACCACATAACCAGACAGTTAACAGATTCTTATTACGCTTTTTCTTCTTCTTCTTGTCTTGGTCGTTAAAGTGAGAATCTGCAGTTGTTACACCCATTTTTGGACTTTAAAAGAGATCACGTATACCCGTTTTATTCTAGAAGAATATAACTTAGTTCAACTGCGCTTAGTTCAACTGTCTTACCCCATCACAACCCAAAATATAAGCTGGTTTTACTCCAATGTTTGTAAACATTGTAATTGTAAATAAACACTGCATAGATTTAAAACATGGCTAAAACTATACGTTTAATGTCATGGATGGTCAGTCCTTGCATCCATAGCTCCATCTATACATTTGAGTAGTTAAATTTCTCCAGCCCCATCCCTGAGCTATTTACGAAAGCACTGGTGGCGTGACCACTTTGTAATTGTTTGAACTGCAGATTGCCCATTTAAAGTACAGGTCATTAGAGCGGCCACCTTAAGCAGCTGTTGTCGCACTTGCGCGCGCACACACACACACACACACAGACGATACATACATACTCACACAGAGACGGTGTTGATTCTGCTCTTAATGACGGTGCTGGGCTCAGTCGGCTGCGAGGCCCCTCATTAGACAGACAGAACAGCAGCCGACACCACCAACCACCGTTGATCTCAGCCTCCCACATATCTGCTCCCCGCTGCCACGGAGACGACACGCTGCTCATAATGTCCCCAACCCTACGTCTCCGGAGTAAATAGAGGGTCACTGAAACGGAAAGCCTGCGTGCTTGACGCACTGTCCCTCGTGGCCTTCGAAATGCACTAGTTTCGTCACGTCGTTACATTCCTTTAACCTTTTAACCTCCGTCGTTTAGTTGTTGGGTATTCTTAACAAGGTTTTAGACCTGCCCTGTAGGCAGGTGGTGGGGGAGGTTAAGGAGGCATGTCGATAGTCTAACATAGCTTCCTCTCCCTTTTCTCCTCTCCATCTGCATTGATCTGAACATGGAGGAAAGGTGAAAGCAGTATGGTCGACCCTAACTGGGAATATGCTGTCACCTGTATAGGTTCTTTCAGGTGAAAGAAGATAAAGGAAGGAGGTCATTTTAGACCCGATTTAAACAGGATCAATGAGTTAGCCAGGTAACCTGTGTAAATATTTTGAAGTAACTTCATAATTGTTTGGAAAGATAAGCTTGAAATGGGCTTCTTATAATTAATTGAACTGGCTGACTTGGTGACCCTGCTTTTTGATGTAACCCTCAGAGCCCTAAGAGGAAGTTAGTTTAATTAGCCCTGTCACGCGACTGACTGCACCTTTTAATCAGACCCCAATCAACTGGTGCTATCATGACTTGCAATCTACTTAGTAGAGAGTTGAAGAAGATTAGCCTCTCAGTGGTATGGCCAAAGCACTCCCACACAGCCTAGGATTGAAGCAGGATGGAGTATGATGCGTGTTCTCACTTAAACTGAAGACAGACAGACATGTGAGTCAATTCCGGAGGATAGTGTTTGAATAGAGTTTTTTTATTTTATTTGTTTATATAGGCGATCTAATTGAGAATATGCAGTTTCCTGTATAGCACTATAAATGTTATTGAAATCTAAAAAGAACCTAGGAATCTAGCTCTATCTAATTCAGTAGCAAATATATTTTTGTTCTGTTTTTAATAGGGTCCTGTTGTGCCTGGTCTGTTCTGTCCAGTCATAACTATTCTAGAGTCTCAATAATGACCTTCAAATAACCTAACGTTACCAGGTAAAGCTGTCAGATCAACATCCAATTGTAAACCCTGAACCTACATTGCCCACCTTGAACCCATAATGTTGATTTGGGGTTGAAATTGGGGTTAAATGACACAAAAACTGTACACTTCAAATGTGGCTTGAAATGCTGAAATGTGCCCAAATAAGACCTTTAGCTTAAATAATAGTAATGAAATACATGCCACTGACAAAGAAATGATCAGTCTATAATTTTAATGGTAGGTTTATTTGAACAGCGAGGGACAGAATAACAACAAAAAAATCCAGAAAAACGCATGTCAAAAATGTTATAAATTGATTTGCATTTTAATGAGGGAAATAAGTATTTGACCACCTCTCAATCAGAAAGATTTCTGGCTCCCAAGTGTCTTTTATACAGGTAATGAGCTGAGATTAGGAGCACACACTTAAAGGGAGTGCTCCTAATCTCAGCTTGTTACCTGTATAAAAGACACCTGTCCACAGAAGCAATCAATCAATCAGATTCCAAACTCTCCACCATGGCCAAGACCAAAGAGCTCTCCAAGGATGTCAGGGACAAGATTGTATACCTACACAAGGCTGGAATGGGGCTACAAGACCATCGCCAAGCAGCTTGGTGAGAAGGTGACAACAGTTGGAAATGGAAGAATCACAAAATAACTGTCAATCTCCCTCGGCCTGGGGCTCCATGCAAGATCTCACCTCGTGGAGTTGCAATGATCATGAGAACGGTGAGGAATCAGCCCAGAACTACACGGGAGGATCTTGTCAATGATCTCAAGGCAGCTGGGACCATAGTCACCAAGAAAACAATTGGTAACACACTACGCCGTGAAGGACTGAAATCCTGCAGCGCCCGCAAGGTCCCCCTGCTCAAGAAAGCATATATACAGGGCCGTCTGAAGTTTGCCAATGAACATCTGAATGATTCAGAGGAGAACTGGGTGAAAGTGTTGTGGTCAGATGAGACCAAAGTCGAGCTCTTTGGCATCAACTCAACTCGCTGTGTTTGGAGGAGGAGGAATGCTGCCTATGACCCAAAGATCACCATCCCCACCGTCAAACATGGAGGTGGAAACATTATGCTTTGGGGGTGTTTTTCTGCTAAGGGGACAGGACAACTTCACCGCATCAAAGGGACGATGGACGGCGCCATGTACCGTCAAATCTTGGGTGAGAACCTCCTTCCCTCAGCCAGGGCATTGAAAATGGGTCGTAGATGGGTATTCCAGCATGACAATGACCCAAAACACACAACCAAGGCACCAAAGGAGTGGCTCAAGAAGAAGCACATTAAGGTCCTGGAGTGGCCTAGCCAGTCTCCAGACCTTAATCCCATAGAAAATCTGTGGAGGGAGCTGAAGATTTGAGTTGCTAAACGTCAGGCTCGAAACCTTAATGACTTGGAGAAGATCTGCAAAGAGGAGTGGAACAAAATCCCTCCTGATATGTGTACAAACCTGGTGGCCAACTACAAGAAACGTCTGATGTCTGTGATTGCCAACAAGGGTTTTGCCACCAAGTACTAAGTCATGTTTTGCAGAGGGGTCAAATACTTATTTCCCTCATGAAAATGCAAATCAATTTATAACATTTTTGACATACGTTTTTCTGGATTTTTTTGTTGTTATTCTGTCTCTCACTGTTCAAATAAACCTACCATTAAAATTATAGACTGATCATGTCTTTGTCAGGGGCAAAACATTTGAGTTCAGGTACCAGATGTTGTCTCAATAACCAATGGCCGAGGAACCTTTTAATAAAGCACCAGTGCTTCTCAGTCTCCAACCATGTCTCCTTATCTTTCAGTGACGGGGCCTCTCACAGAATCACAAATAGCCTACGTTTCTCGAGAAACTCTTCAGGTACGTCCATTCAGTTTGCCTCCTGCAACACTCAAGCATTCACTCTTCTTCTGACACACGTCTTTCATCTCAAAGTATTGCCTTTGAACTGCTGCATACCTTAGATCTGATCCATCCACTCGAAATGAGATTGAAAACAGCCGTTAGCAATAGCAACACCGTAGGACTATTGCTGTCATTGATTTGTTCGATTTTTGATACACACAACTATTATAAAGTATTATAATAAAAAGAAGTAGCCAGACTATTTCTTTCCTGGTAAAATGACAATGGTTTCATGCTTTGGAAAAGTATATGTGGCTGATTTTGGTTGAATGTGAATTGGCTAAAAAGGGACACCATATTAGGATGGGATATTATTTGTGAAGAGGTCAATGGACTGACTCACTTTACACATTTTTCCCTCCACAGGGTCTCTACTATCTACACAACAAAGGCAAAATGCACAGAGACATAAAGGTAAGGTGGGAAAATGGCAGATTCTAGCAGGAATACATGGCTTCCATTGCATAGAATAGAATGCACAAAGACAAAGGTGAAGTGGGACTGGGACAATAACCGTTTTAAGCACGAATACATTGTGTAGATTAGGATAGAATAGAGTTTATTGTCCTCTTCAAGGAAATAATTTGACACGAGCTCGTATGTACACACAAATAGACCAACAACACCTTCACCCAGACATGTTCAATTACCGGTACATTTACAGTAGTTTAGTGTGCTCCTCTGGAATGTCTTGGCATAGACGTGTAATAGCCATTATAAAAACATTTCTGACACTAATGGCCACCATTTTAATCCCCAACAAGACATCTATCAAAGTCACTCCAGGCTTTACCGGTTTGGTCGTTCCCCTGTGAAGTTTCCTTCGATAGATGGCCTTGTTAAGAGACTGCTGCATAAATGAAACTGCATTGAAAATGTGCAGATACAAGTTAGTTAGACGTTTGAAACGTTGTTGAGGAAAAAATAAGCTAAAACGTACTAAACGCTTACATAGGCCTATGCAACTGCAAATCCATTGTGACGTTCTAATCTTCTTTTGTCTGCACAAAGGGAGCAAACATACTGTTGACAGACAACGGGTACGTCAAACTAGGTAAGGAGTCCAGATGTGCAACTGTTTTCTTTGATGTGTGTGTGTTTCAATATGATGAATCATGGCAATTTGGCATTTGGCGAGTGTGTGAATCATCGCCTGGCGATGACTGACAAGTTGTTAATTGCACTTGGCTGTGAATAGCACCTTCTGCTTTCACATTCTGTGTATGTGTGTGCGCGCTTTCATATTCAATGTGTGTAATAGGCTAAATCAAGTCTGCGATGCATGCACAGCTTGGACAGTGATTGGAATAATTGTGTCAGTGCTAACACTACAATTTATATCGTATTCCTTTTGGAATATTAGCTGCACCAGCTTACAAAACATGTATGGTTACTAAAATACATGAGCATTGCATGATTTTCATTGATTTCAACATTGTTATGCATAATTTATCATTTATTACAGAGCGAACCAGGCTTAAGAAATGGTCATCAAACATGTATTAGACATTCACTGGTATTAATGATAAACTGTTGTTGATTGCATTTGGACATTTATTAGCCATTTATTAATAATGAACTGTTACTATACAGTGAGGGAAAAAAGTATTTGATCCCCTGCTGATTTTGTACGTTTGCCCACTGACAAAGAAATGATCAGTCTATAATTTTAATGGTAGGTTTATTTGAACAGTGAGAGACAGAATAACAACAACAAAATCCAGAAAAACGCATGTCAAAAATTTTATAAATTGATTTGCATTTTAATGAGGGAAATAAGTATTTGACCCCCTCTCAATCAGAAAGATTTCTGGCTCCCAGGTGTCTTTTATACAGGTAACGAGGTGAGATTAGGAGCACACTCTTAAAGGGAGAGCTCCTAATCTCATCTTGTTACCTGTATAAAAGACACCTGTCCACAGAAGCAATCAATCAATCAGATTCCAAATTCTCCACCATGGCCAAGACCAAAGAGCTCTCCAAGGATGTCAGGGACAAGATTGTAGACCTACACAAGGCTGGAATGGGCTACAAGACCATCGCCAAACAGCTTGGTAAGAAGGTGACAACAGTTGGTGCGATTATTCGCAAATGGAAGAAACACAAAAGAACTGTCAATCTCCCTCGGCTTGGGGCTCCATGCAAGATCTCTTGGACTTGGACAAGGACTTGCAATGATCATGAGAACGGTGAGGAATCAGCCCAGAACTACACGGGAGGATCTTGTCAATGATCTCAAGGCAGCTGGGACCATAGTCACCAAAAAAACAATTGGTAACACACTACGCCATGAAGGACTGAAATCCTGCTGCGCCCGCAAGGTCCCCCTGCTCAAGATAGCACATATACATGCCCATCTGAAGTTTGCCAATGAACATCTGAATGATTCAGAGGAGAACTGGGTGAAAGTGTTGTGGTCAGATGAGACCAAAATGGAGCTCTTTGGCATCAACTCAACTCGCCATGTTTGGAGGAGGAGGAATGCTGCCTATGACCCCAAGAACACCATCCCCACCGTCAAACATGGAGGTGGAAACATTATGCTTTGGGGGTGTTTTTCTGCTAAGGGGACAGGACAACTTCACCGCATCAAAGGGACGATGGACGGGGCCATGTACAGTCAAATCTTGGCTGAGAACCTCCTTCCGTCAGCCAGGGCATTGAAAATGGGTTGTGGATGGGTATTCCAGCATGACAATGACCCAAAACACACGGCCAAGGCAACAAAGGAGTGGCTCAAGAAGGAGCACATTAAGGTCCTGGAGTGGCCTAGCCAGTCTCCAGACCTTAATCCTATATAAAATCTGTGGAGGGAGCTGAAGCCTCGAAACCTTAATGACTTGGAGAAGATGTGCAAAGAGGAGTGGGACAAAATCCCTCCTGAGATGTGTGCAAACCTGGTGGCCAACTACAAGAACTGTCTGACCTCTGTGATTGCCAACAAGGGTTTTGCCACCAAGTACTAAGTCATGTTTTGCAGAGGGGTCAAATACTTATTTCCCTCATTAAAATGCAAATCAATTTATAACATTTTTGACATGCGTTTTTCTGGATGTTGTTGTTGTTATTCTGTCTCTCACTGTTCAAATAAACCTACCATTAAAATTATAGACTGATTATTTCTTTGTCAGTGGGCAAACGTACAAAATCAGCAGGGGATCAAATACTTTTTTCCCTCACTGTATTAATGTAACTCTAACTTTAACAAAACATTTACAAATCGTTAATTGATTAATTAACATGTTAAAAAGGCATAATTAATTATGCTTAATGGAGGCATCATGTAGATTGGAATGTCAGGCTTCTCACTTCTTTCTTTCTTTCTTTCTTTCTTTCTTTCTTTCTTTCTTTCTTTCTTTCTTTCTTTCTTTCTTTCTTTCTTTCTTTCTTTCTTTCTTTCTTTCTTTCTTTCTTTCTTTTTTTCTTTCTTTCTTTCTTTCATCCTTTTCTTGGCAGCTGACTTCGGCGTCTCGGCCCAAATCACGATGACCATTGCCAAGAGAAAATCCTTCATCGGCACACCTTACTGGTAATGTCCTTCATCACTTCCCACCTTCTATCGATTCTCTCTGTCCCTTGATACCCAAGTCAGGTGAATCTATCCATGGATCTATCATCCACCATTTTGTCAAGCGGAGTGTGAATGTGCCCTTCGATTGATTTTTAAAAGGTGTTTAACCCCTTGAGTCGATTTCTGCCACCCCGCGAAAATCTAATTAGGATAATTAAAATATTCCAATCAAATTCCTTCAGTTTAAGCTAGAGATATGTTTTTTTGCATTGCATCCGCAGATGTTGCACTTTTGCATATGAGGTGAAAGGTGGCAGAGCTAGAGCGGTGATTGTCAGACCATGAGACATCCCGAAAATCGGTCTTCTCACAAAAAAACGTCTGTAGCGTCCGAATGGTTTGGCCTACAAACTATTATGACCACTCTATTGAAAGATGAGACTCACAAACATGATGGTGTTCTCCATTTTGCTCTACAGCCTACACAAGCCTCACAAGACTCGTCTGAAGGTACCAGTTTTAAAAAATGAATGGGAGCATTTATGGAGATAGTTTAGTGCCAAAAATAAGGGGTTAAATACAAATTTCAATGCATTTCTGTCTGTGTCTGTCACCAGAGATTTTAACATGTTGAGAATGCTTATCAATTTAGAAAATGGACAAAAAGAAATGCAAGCCTAAACATGTTTTGCATTTCAAGCTACAAAGCTAGTGGAATTATTTATTTTATTTTTATTACTTTTTTCCTAACCCCAAACCAGGTTCGTATCCTAACCCCAATCCCACCCCTTACCCTAAACCGGGTTCGTATCCTAACCCCAATCCCACCCCTTATCCTAAACCGGGTTCGAATCCAAATCCTGACCCTACCCTCCCCATACACTGATACATCACACTCTTTACCTTCTATTTACAGTTATCAAATCACCTCAGCCCAAATCTGACTGATTAGTTATTACCTGTATCCAAGTGCATTAGTGGATAATTCTCACTGCGATGTGGGCTCGTTCAGTGTGGCCAGTGTTCGGAAAATGAGCGAGAGACCGGCTGGTCATTTGTCTGGAGAACAACATAAGTTTGGCCTTGAATGCTTTCACGTTGGAATACAGTTCATGCACAAAAACACAATATCCCTGCTGTTTCACATTTAGATCGTTAAGATGCCCCAATACGTCCACACCGAAAGAAAAGTCGCCCAGCCTGTCTGTGTCTTTCAACTCGGAGAAGTCGTCAGCTTTACCAACTGTATCAAGGAACATACCTATCTCCCCTCTCAGTTCCCACACACGGCGAAATACTTTTCCCAATCTTAGCCAGCGCACATTTGAATGGTACAACAAGTCCTGGTGCTCTGCCTCTGTGTCATTGAGCAGCTGAATGAACTGACAATGGTTAAGCCCCCTTGCCTGTATAAAGCTGACAAGTTTTACAACCACTTTGACAACATTTTCCAGTTTTAACACACTTTTAGCATGCTTGCTTGAAAAATGACGATTGAGATTATATTCCTTAAAAACGGCAACACTTTCTTGGCATATCAGACATACCACCTTATGTCCAGTATTAGTACAAAATTATTTAACCATGCTTTAAACACACGACATTCAGAGTCCACTATTCTCATTTTCGCAGCACTCATTTTTCACGTCAAAAGTCGTCAAGCAATGAAGTAGCTATAATGACTGAGCGCATTCTGAATCTGATTGTTGGCCCAAATACAGAGCGTGCTGCCAGGGTACAGCGCCATCTATTGGAGGTTGTTTGTATATCATGGAATTAGTCATTTTAGGCCAAAAATCGTAACTCAAATATAATAATATTTAATACATGTAGAAAATGTCTCGCGTGCCGTACTTTGCCCCCCCTTGCTCTAGGGGGTTAACGAGTCAAACGTATTCTGATTATATTGATTTCGTGGTGATGATGATGATCGGCAAGTAGCCTAGTGGTTAAGCGTGTTGGGCCAGTAACCGAAAGGTCGCTGGTTTGAATCCCCGAGCCGACTAGGTGAAAAATTCTGTCTGTGCCATTCAGCAAGGCACTTAACCCTAATTGCTCCTTGTAAGTCGCTCTGGATAAGAGCGTCTGATAAATGACTAAAATGTAAATTGTAATGATGATGTTGGTCTAAATTGTATAATCAAATACAATTTAGACCAGTGTATTCGATTTGATTTTTAAAAGTAGCCTATTAAACAAGTCAAACGATTGTGATTATATTGATTTCAATGATGGTAATATGATGATGATGATGATGATGATGATGAGGACTGCTGGTATCATCAAATTAATTGTTTGGGTTACACTTTATAATAACTGTCATGAATAAGCCCTGTAAATGCTTATGAATTTTAACACTTACAATCAGTGCTGGCTCTAGCCATTTTGGGGCCTTAAATTAGATTTGGTTGGGGTGCCACCCCCGACCGTGCAGGCAAAACATTTTAGTGGCCCACCACTAAACAAAAGTTTAAATAATATTTACAAAATGTGTTCATATTTATAAACATTTATAAGCGAGTTATTGGCACATACAGTGGGTTATACAGTGGGAGTTGAGAGGTCCTGTTTGAGATGACCCTGTAGTGTTCATTGCTATTGACTGTTCCAAGGCTATGTGGTGAACCGTTCATTTGTCTGAGCCGACTCCCTGTGTGCAGGATGGCACCCGAGGTGGCAGCCGTGGAGAGGAAGGGTGGGTACAACCACCTGTGCGACATCTGGGCTGTGGGCATCACCGCCATTGAGCTGGCAGAGCTGCAGCCTCCCATGTTCGACCTTCACCCGATGAGGTTAGTGTTTGGACCCATTGGCATCAGACCAGAGCGCTTTAAAAAAAAAAAAAAAAAAAGGAGAGTGGACTCTCCTTTTGTATTTTATTGTTTTTGACAGAGACCGTTATGAAATGGAGAGCAGATAGAGAGAAGGGAGACAGAGTAGGGCCGGTAGGTACCGGGATTCTTATCCATGCAGGCAGGGGAATCGTATACACTCACCTCCATATGTACTTGGACAGTGAAGCATATAATTATTTGGGCTCTACACTCAAGCATTTTGGATTTGAGATAAAATGTTTCATAGGAGGCGACAGTACAGAATGACACCTTTTATTTGAGACTATTTTCATACATATCTGTTTTACCATTAAGAAATTAAAGCACTTTATGTAGGTAGTCCCCCATTTTAAGAAGTCAAAAGTGTTTGGACAAATTCACTTATAGTGTATTGAAGTAGTAAAAAGTATTTGGTTCCATATTTCTAACACGCAATGACTCTACAAACTCGTTGTATGCATTCACTGTTTGTTTTGGTTGTGTTTTGGGTTATGCTTTGACAATAATCGTATTTAACAACCATACAGTATACTTCAAAATGTGGAAGGAATTTCACATGTGGACCTACATGTAGAAAGCAGAAGATAATTATTTTAAATGTATGTTTAGTAAGTTAGCACCTCTGAGTAAAAGCAAGGATTGGAAGTGAAACACTAAATCCTTAAATGCACTAATTTCCTTAAATACACAACTGCACCTTTTTACATTTTTCTCAGAGCCCTGTTTTTGATGACCAAAAGTAACTTCCAGCCGCCCAAGTTGAAAGACAAGGTGAAGTGGTAAGTGTCTTTAGGCTTGCTGCCTGCAACATAAACCCTGGCCAGTTCTATCTCGCTACTTGAACACACCGCCCTCTCCCACCCCAACTCTTATACATTATAACTGGATGGAAAAAGAGACGTAATACAATATTAATGAATCAAATCAAAATGCTGCTAAAATATTAACAGTCAGACACACCTGTCATAGGGGTAAACGAGCCTCAGATTTGTGTCAATGTCATTGGACTCAGAGAAAGGCTTTTTTTATGGGGAGGGGTTGGAGAATTGACAGTCTAACTAGATTACACATAATATGGGGTCAGGTTTCATCCCAAAGATGTTTGATAATTATTAGCATATAAATTGAATATTTATAATCGAATAGGCAGAATGTTTTTTTTAAATCCAATTTCGTTCTCCCTCCCCAAGGACCAGTAATTTCCATCATTTTGTAAAAATATCGTTGACGAAAAATCCAAAGAAAAGGCCCTCCTCTGACAAGCTGTTGCAGGTAAGATGATCTTGGCCTGAGCTATATAACAGTAATGTGATTGTAGTGGCGTCATTGTGTAGATCAAGGGATTTGGTTGCTGAAATGACAACCCAAAGAGCATTGTTAGTAAGTCTTTCAAATGTTCAAGGTCAAGATTTAGTAAAGTAGTGTGAATATTTGCAACTAGAGCCCCCTTTGCATTTGTTGTACGTAGACTGGTTAAATGGGCAATATGAAGTTCAAACAATAACAAAACAGTTACCCCGCCACTGTTTTTGTAAACAACTGAGGGTTGGTGCTGGAGAAATGTAACCACTCAAATTTATAGAAAGAGCTAATGGATGCAAGGACTGACCATTCATGATACTGTATCAAAATTATAGTTTTGAGACTATACAGTGTTTGTTTTTAAGTAAAACAAGCGTATATTTTGGGTTCTGATGGGGTACGACAGTTGAGCTAAGCTCATGAGGCATTTAAAAGATTATTCAAGAATCAATGGGTAAAAATAATGTAAAAGTCCAGAAAAGGATGTAGCAAGTGCTGTAGTTTCCACATAGCAACACTTATTTACTATTAGCCTGAGGTTTATGCTCTTAGAACTCGACCATGCTTATTACTCAAATAAACTTGGACAGAGGAACCCACCTAACTCTTACAAGCTCAACCGTTTTTTATATTTTATCTTAGAAATCTTGTTTATCAAATCATTTTAAGATCTACTGCACTTCAAGTGCCTTTTACACATTACTCTTTAGCATTTTAATAATATATTGCACTAGCATGTGATAAATATGGCATAATGGCTTGTGTCATGCTTGTCTGAGGCAAATGGCACCGCATTCCCTATATAATGCACTACTTGACCAGGGCCCATATTTGGGACGCAGCCTAAATGTGTTGTGTCTGTCTAGTGTTTGTATGTCAGTTCATA